GGCATGGGCAGGGCTAAGGAAACCAGCAAGGAATGAGGAAGCACCTGGAACAAACATTAGAGAGTAGCCATTATGTATGTGAGGCCTGAGAATCAGGAAGGGGTCATTCTTCAGGATCACTTTGTAGAAAACAAAGACAATACCAAATCTACCTGGCGGGAAGAGAACTGGGGTCTAAGTGCCTGATTTCTCTTATCCCACTCTGTCAACTCCTACTTTGCCTCACATTGGCTGAACTCAGTTGGAAACAAGAGAAAAGAGGTATGTGGGTGATGCAGCCAATAAAAGTCAGCTTTCAGGGACACAGAGCAGGGATCTTGAGGTGGTAAATGGAGAGTAACCAGCATATAGGACAAACAAACCAAACTAGGCTCCCACCAGCTATGCCTCCCATCCCATTCCACTTGGCCACTATAATCACAGTCTGGTTTTGGTGCAGTCTTTTCCTTTCCAGTTGCAAGGATTCAGCCTTTTTCTCTTTCCTTTTTACATCTACCATCTACATTCTATTTATATCCATTTGTGTTTATCTATGAGAACCTTAAGATAAATAGGGAGGCTGCCTCATGGAGAGAAACTCTGTGGAATGACGTCACTGCAGCAGGTTCATATGGGCAGTCATCCTTTCAATACCATGCTTCCCCAGAAAATAGGCATTTCAAAGCTTTTTGAGGTTCATTCAATGTATTTTTGGCTTTACACATTAGCCCCAAGAACTAAATAAAGAGAGCTAAGACTATGCATTGGTCACTGCATACTTACTTAATCCTTATGACAAAAACATCAGTTGTAGTCTACACAAATTACATTAGTTGTAAATGAGGTTAGTTGTATTTAGCTAATGGGATAAAATAATGCCCAAGCCCCCTGCTGCCACAATCTACAGTTAAACATAGAGATTTCTAGAATCCAAATGAATGACTACTTTGCTATATTCAACCTAATCAGGTTAAAATATAGTACAAAAAACTACTTATGTGTTTTTTGCCTTTCTTTGTTGTTGTTGTCAGGTACCCACAAGTTGGTTCTAACTCATGGTGACCCTATGTATAAAGACTGAAACACTGCCTGGTCCTCTGCCATCCTCACCATTATTCCTATGTTGCAGGCACTGTGTTAGTCTTATGGAGGGTCTTCCTCTTTTGTCACCGGCCCTCTATTTTACCAAGCATGATGTCTTTCTCTGGGGACTGATCCCTTCTGATAACATGTCCAAAGTCTGTGAGACAAACTGGCTGTACTTCTTCCAAGATATATTTGTTCATTGTTCTGGAAGTCTATTACAAGGTATGTTCAGTATTCTTTGCCAAAACTGTAATGAAAATGCATCAATTCTTCAGTATTCCTTATTCATTGTCCAACTTTTGCATACAAATGAGGTGTTTGAAAATACCAAGGCTTGGTCAGAAGTACTTTAGTCCTTCAAGTGACATCTTTGTTTTTTTTTTTTTTTTTAGCACTTTAAAGAGGTCTTTGCAGCACATTTGACCAACACATTACATTGTTTGATTTCTTGAATGCTTCTTCCAAGAGCATTGATTGTGAATCCAAATAAAATGAAATCCTTGACAACTTCAATATTTTTCGCTGAACAATACTCATATATTGAATGTGTATTAAAATATGAACTTATTTAGTTTCACTCATCTGTGTCAAGAAATTTGGAAGACAACTATTTGGCCAGCAGATTGGAAGAGATCCCTATTTGTGCACATTCCAAAGAGAAGTGACCCAGTGGAATGTGGGAATTATCGGACAATATCTTTGATATCCTATATGAGTAAAGTTTTACTAAAGGTAATACAGAAATGGATGCAAGCATACATTGACAGAGAACTTCCAGAGGTTCAAGCTGGATTCAGAAGAGGACATGGAAAGAAATATATCATTGCTGATGTCCAATGGATCTTGGTTGAAAGCAAAGAATACCAGCAAAATGTTTACCTGTGCTTTATTGACTATGCAAAGGCTTTCAATTGTGTGGATCGTGACAAGCTATGGACAACATTGTGAAGTATGGGTATTCCTGAACATATAATTGTGTTCATGAGGTATCTGTACATGGACCAAGAGGCAATTATTCAAACAGAACATTGGAACACTGAACGGTTTAAAATTAAGAAAGGTGTGTGACAGGGTTGTATTCCTTCACCATACTTATTCAACCTGTATGCTGAGCAAGTACTTTGAGAAGCTGGATTATATGAAGAAAAACATGGCATCAGTATTGGAGGATGACTCATTAAGAACATGCAATATGCAGATGTAACAACCTTGCTTGCTGAAAGTGAAGAGGACTTAAAATACTTACTGATGAAGATCAAAGAGCACAGCCTTCAGTATGAATTGCATATCAATGTAAAGAAAACAAAAATCCTCACCACTGGACCAATAAATAACACTCTTATCAATGGAGAAAAGATTGAAGTTGTCAAGGACTTCATTCTTGGATCAACTATCAACACTCATGGAAGCAGCAGTCAAGAAATCAAAGGACGTATTGCATTAGGCAAATCTACTGCACAAGACCTTTTTAAAGTGTTGAAGAGCAAAGATGTCAGCTTGAGGACTAAGGTGCACCTGACCCAAACCATGGTATTTTCAATAGCCTCATATGTATGTGAAAGCTGGACAGTGAATAAGGAAGGCCTTAGAAGCATTGATGCTTTTGAGTTATGGTGCTGGAGGAGAATATTGCAAGTACCATGGGCTGCCAAAAGAATCAGCAGATCTGTGTTGGAAGAAGTGCCGCCAGAGTGCTCTTTGGAGGCCAGGATGGACAAATTTCGTCTCTCATATTTCGGACATATTGTCAGGAGGGACTAATCGCTGGAGAGTGATATCATGTTTGGTAAGGTAGAGGGTCAGAGAAAAAGAGGAAGACCCTCAGTGAGATGGATTGGCAAAGTGGCAGCATAGATGGGCTCAAGCATGGCAACAATTGTGAGGTTGGCCCAGGATTGAGCAGTATTTCATTCTGTTGTACATTGAGTCACTATGAATTGGTAATGACTTGGCACCTAACAACAACAACAACAATTCAGTTTCAAACTGTAGAATAAAAAGCTACTTTTGGACTCCTACTTCCTTTGTTGTTGTTGTTGTTGTTAAGTGCCATCGAGTCGGTTCCGACCCATAGCGACCCTGTACAGGGTTTCCGAGGGTGTAAATCTTTACGGGAGTAGAAAGCCTCATCTTTCTCCCGCGGAGCGGCTGGTAGTTTCGAACCGCTGACCTTAAGGTTCGCAGCCCGATTCGTAACCACTACGCTACCAGAGTACTTCCTTTATATCCCCCTAATTTTGGTGTGGCACTGTGGGCTAATGTGCAGGACTGCAAGGTCAATTTGAACTGCAAGGTAGGTGGTTCAAACTCAATAGCCGCTCCTTGGAAAGTCTATACAGGGTTACTATGAGTCGAAAGCAACTAGACTACTTAACAACAACAACAATCCTTGTGTGACTATAGAATAGACACTGAACTACTAACAGCGAGATTGGCGGTTCAAACCCACCAGCTGCTCTTTAGAAATCCTATACAGGATTACTCTGAGTCAGACTAACGCGAAGGCATCTAACAACAACAACAGTATACTTATGGAACACATACTAGTATAATCCTATTGATACTGAATAAAACAAACAAAATTACATTTCATTTCTCAAAATAAGCATTCCCCTATTAACTATTTGCTCTGGACTCTGAGCACGCAAGAACATTTCTCCTTTGGCAAAATATATATTTCCTAGTCCAGGTTGGCACTGTGGGTTAATGTGCTGGACTGCAAAGTCGGTCTGAACTGCGAAGCCGGATGTTCAAGCTCACCAGCTGCTTCTTGGAAACCCTATACAGGGTCACTTTGGGTCAAAACTAACTTGATGGTACTTAACAGCAACAAAAACAACAAGCTTCATGCTGGACTTCTGGTGTGGCACTGTAGGATCAACATTGGGCTGTGAGCCACAAGTGGGCAGTTCAAACCCACCAGCTGCTCCTTGGAAATCCTATACAGGATCGCTATGACAACCAACTCTATGGCACTTAACAGCAACAAAGCTTTATGCTACTCTGCACTGGATGTAATTTCTTCCCTCCTGGGGACAGCCCTCGTAATTTCTAAAAGCTTATCCTCACATTGATCTTCCATGAAGAAAGAAGATCCTTAAAACATTCTGTCTTTGGATATCAGACATGCACAAAATGAGCTCCAGTCATCAGCTTTAGCTTTTTAGAAATCACCTTACGGTAGGCTGGTAAAGTCATTATCGTCACTGTCTCTGCATTTTAGACAATTATTTGTCTGCAATTTAGACAATTATTTCAGCTTATGCAATGGCTAACGTTGCCTTAAACTTTGATTTATCATAGAGTCTACATGGCAGCCAGGAATCCTCCTATCTGTTTTTTTTCCTCAGCTTTAATGTCTTCTTTCTAGGAACTCTCACTCTGAGAACTATTCCGCTGTAATGGTGAAAGCCACCATATAGCCTGTCTGTGGAAGTAAATGACCAAATAGGAATTTGTCTACCTTAGGTTAATTAATGAATTATTGTAAGAATGTTTTCCTAGGAGATTGTATTACAAATATTGTTGCTGTTCAGTGCTGCTGAATCGATTCTGACTCATAGAGACCCTATATAGGGATGCTGAGGTTTGAATTAGCAACCTTGTGATTAGCAGTCCAGAGCTTATCCTCTAGCACACCAGGATTCTACTACAAAATATATGAATACATTAATTCACTCAAATATTTATTTTGACTGTGCTTGAAATTTTTGTGGACATTATAATATCGTGATAACATGCTATTTATACTATGCTATTATTTTTGTAATTTCTAGCAAGAAAGCAGAAATACATTGCATATTATATTATCTATTTAATAATCCTATTCTTATTATATAACCTAAGGGTAAATTGTGCTTGTCTTTTATTTCCAGAGGGGGAAAAGTTCTGCTGCAATTTTGGGCACAAGTGAGACTATTCATTTAAAGATAACCATGCTAAATTTTCACAATGTCTGCTGGGTACCCAGCTCCTTTCAGCTCACTGGCATCCCAGGGCTTGAGTCCCTGCACATCTGGTTCTCCATCCCTTTTGGCTCCATGTACCTAGTAGCAGTGATGGGGAATATGACCATCTTGGCAGTAGTAAGGGTGGAGCACAGCCTTCACCAGCCCATGTACTTCTTCCTGTGTATGTTGGCTGTTATTGACTTGGTTCTTTCCACTTCTACAATGCCCAAGTTGCTGGGAATCTTCTGGTTTGGTGCTGGTGACATTGGTCTAGATGCCTGCTTGATCCAAATGTTCCTCATCCACTGCTTTGCCACTGTTGAGTCAGGCATATTCCTTGCCATGGCTTTTGATCGCTATGTGGCTATCTGCAACCCACTACATCATACCATGGTGCTCACTCATGCAGTGGTGGGTCGTTTGGGACTGGCTGCTTTTCTCCGTGGTGTACTCTACATTGGACCCCTGCCTCTGATGATCCGCCTGCGACTTCCCCTTTATAAATCCCGGATAATCTCTCACTCCTACTGTGAGCATATGGCTGTAGTTACTTTGACATGTGGTGACAGCAAGGTCAACAATGTCTATGGGCTGAGCATTGGCTTCCTGGTACTTATCCTGGACTCAGCAGCCATTGCTGCCTCCTATGTAATGATTTTCAGGGCTGTGATGGGCCTAGCCACCCCTGAGGCTAGACTTAAAACTCTGGGGACATGTGGTTCTCATATTTGTGCCATCCTGATTTTCTATGTTCCCATTGCTGTTTCTTCTCTCATTCACCGATTTGGTCACCATGTGTCTCCTCCAATTCATACTTTGCTGGCCAACTTCTATCTTCTCATTCCTCCAATCCTCAATCCTATTGTCTATGCTGTCCGTACCAAGCAAATCCGAGAAAGGCTTCTCCAAATCCTGAAGATAGAAATGAAGAATAGATGACTACTACTTCCTTCTTCTTTTCCAAATATACTCATGGAGAAGAAAGGTTTTAAGTATTTATTTATTTATAAAGAAGGCTGCTACTCCAATTCGGACCTTCTCAAGCAGTCGGAGATGTTGTGGTCTCAAAATTTTGTGGCTCCAAAGAAATGGTAAGACAGAGTATACAATTCTTAATTCTAAGGACTAAAGATTATATTTAATATTTTCATGATTAAAGGATATTTGATCTACAAGGGAGATAATTAAAAAATAATGACAATACTACCAGTAACACATAACAGCTAATTCTTAGCAAACATCCTAACATTTTATGTTGCACATTTTACACATCAGGAAAAGGCATAGAACAGTTTTATAAACTTCACAAACAGTTATTTATACAGTCTAACTCAAATGTTTTGGTTGGAGTTGATTAGTATTTTACATGACATTTTATTATGCTTTACTCTAAAAGTTTGTTTTCTGGGTATAAATCCTAAAAATTGAATAATTTCATTGAAGTGACCTTGGCTAACAACCAAAGCCCTCTGCAAGTTCAGCCTTTAGAAACTGGGATGAGGCTAAAATTGCTTGTACTAATAATTTTAGAAAAATGCTAACTTGTATACCCAGCAAGGTATGATGATATCAGCTATGAAAATAGAAAGTGGCCTAGAAAAAAAAATATCAGCTCAGTGAAGAGAAATGAGACAAGATGACCACATGGCCCTTGTTTGGTTTTCCTGCAGGCTTGCTCTCGCCTAGTGGCCTGAAGCATGTGAGGGCTCTGTGTAGGAAAATGTCCCTTCCCATAGAAATTATCTTAAATTCTGATCCATTTGTAGGATCCTTGGTCATGATGTACTGTATGTTTTAAATGAATCAGTACAAAATAAGGGAAAATTACACATTCTTGAATTTACAGAAACTAGCAACTGGACAAATGGGCAACATTACAATAAACAGTGAAAAAATTGAAGCTGTCAAGAATTTCACTTTACTGTGACCCACATTCTGTGCCCATGGAAGCAGCAGTTGGGAAAACAAACAACATATTGTATTGAGCAAATCTGCTGTAAAAGATCTCATTAAAGTGTTAAAAGGTAAAGATATCACTTAGAAGACTAAGGTGCACCTGACCCAGCCATGATATTTTCAGTTTCTTCATGTACATGTGAAAATTGGACAATGAATAAGAAAACCAAAGAAGAATTGAAGCCGTTAGATTATTATGTTGGAAAAAACCATGAAATATACCATAGACTGCCAGAAGAAATGAACAAAACTGTGTTGGAAGAAGTACATACAGCCAGAATGTTTCTTAGAAGTCAGGATGGTAAGACTTCATCTCACATACTTTGTACAGGTTCTTAGGAGGGACCAGTTTCTGGAGAAGGACATCATGTTTGGTAATATGGAGAGTCAGAGAAAAAGAGGAAGAACTCCAAAGAGATGGATTGACTAGACTCTCATGTCAACCATAACATTTGCACAGTCCCCACCCCCAGTTCACAACAATGTCCCTACCCCTCAGTTCACAGCAATGGACAGCGAAACACAGTTCCCCTAATTAAGTGCATAGAGGCATTCCACTCTACAAGCACACTTTCTACCCAAAGTCACTGAAGTCTCTTACTGTCTGATTTGTCAGCAATAAATATCAATGCTAAACACGAGGTATGACTCTATTACTTCAGGAGGTCACTTGGTTGTCCACTTTACACTGGTTTATTTCTTTTCTGATAAGGCCAGTGTCTCATAGTGATAAATACTTACTGGTGTGCATTTGTTTTTCTTGCCCATAGAACCTTGGCTAGTATTGCTCTTTGAAGGTCTTATTGAATACCTATCTACAAGCATGGATCTCTCATGACATAGCATCTGAACAGGGCACCTGTTTAACAGTAAAGGATGTACACAGGATAGTGATCATGGTAATAGAATCTACTGGTACTATCACAATCCTAACTAACCAAAAGAAATTGACCTTACAGACATATCTTCTTCCTCCCACTACTTCCCTTCACCCCAATAAATCTCTTACATGTTCAATTACTTCAAGGCATCTTCACCTTCAAGGACCCATTTAGATGTAATTCTGAATAGATGGCTATTGCAAAATGTTTAAACTCATGTCTCTAAATGTCAGACCTTGTGGGAAGAGTTAGTATCTTATATAAATGTGGAACCCTTAGAAATCTTTTTAGAAAGATTACTTTCTTAAAGCCATTAAAAAAGAAACAAAACCCCATGTAAATGCTGCTCAGCAATGTTTTTTCTCCCTCCATAGCAGAATGCATGAGGTCAATGCCAGTCTTCTGATAGGTTGTTGTTGTTGTTTCTGTCAAGTGCCATCAAGTTGTTTCCTACCCATAGCAACCCTGTATAGGGTTTCCAAGGAAGGACTGGTGAGTTTGAACTGCTGACCTTGTGGTTCAAACCAACCTTGAAATCCAGTGCATTAACCCACAGTGCCACACCAGGACTCCATGGATTGGTTAGGGTTAAGATTAATGTTAGGGTTAGGCTGGACTTAGTATCATGGAGTCCTGGTGTGGCACTGTGAGGTAATACATCAGACTACAAAGTTGTTTGAACTGGAAGGTCGATGGTTCAAGCTCACCAGCTGTTCCTTGGAAACCCTCTACAGGGTCGCTATGGGTCAGAATCAAATCAATGCCACTAACAACAACAACAACAGTATCATAGAAATGCCCTTTAGAAACTGAAACCAATATGCAATTCAATGGTAGAGCAAATCCCTGGATGTTACTATGTTGTTGTTGTTCTTGTGTGTCCTTGAATCAATTCCGACTCATAGCAACCCTGTATAGGGTTTCTGAGGAGTGGCTGGTGAATTTGAACCCCTGACCTTGCAGTTAAACCAAGCTTGAAGTCAAGTGCTTATCCTAGGCACCATACCAGGATTCATTGGATGTTACTATTGTTGTTGGTGTTGTTAAGTGATATTGAGTCAGTTCCAACTCATAGTGATCCTGTATAGGGTTTCTGAGTCCAGTGCTTATCCACACCAAGAGTTCCCTTCAACAAATAGTGCTGGCTAAACTTGAAATCCAATAGCAGAAAAATGAAACTGCACCCATAACTCACACCATTAATAAATAAATAAATAAATAAAAGTCAACATGGATTAAAGACCTAAATGTAAAATCTAGAACTATGAGGGTGAGTCAAAAATTATCTGCAATCCAGTTATATTAAAATGTCCCACCATATCCATGGCTGATAGCTCAGGCCAGCCCTGTTTTCTAACCGGCACAGAGAAAAGACACTGGGAAATGAGCAGTATTTGGCATAGAGGCTGGAGGGCTCACAGCCTTGCTGCTTTTGACTGGAAACCCATCACCTCTGGATGTGACCAAATGCATCAGCTGAGCGTGGGGAAGTGGGGACGTGAGTGAGGGGAGAGGCACCCAGGTGGGTTGCTTCACCTCCTGCAGGGGTGGGGCCGGAAGAGGTAATGGAGGCCACAGGTCAGGGAGGAGAGGCATCTTCTGAGGTAGTGGGACTCGGTTCAAATGCATCCACACACCCACAACAGCTTTAAAAAAAAACAAAAACAAAACAGAAGCAGAGGACTGCTATCCAAGAGCTTTGTGACCTTAACATGACAATGCATATCTACACAACTCTGTCCACACTATTGACACTTCTCAAAACACCTCCTTCTGAGGTGTTAAAGCATCCTCCCTATGTTCTTGATCTTGCTTCATTGGATTTTCACTTGTTTGGTCCCCTGAAAACACCCCTTAGAGGACAAAGATTCTGGAGGAAGAATGGATGAATGGATTCTGGATGAAGAAATGCACAGCTGTGCATTTGTGGCTCACAGCTCAGCTTAAAATATTTTAAAATAAGGGAATTTTTGTTGTTGTTAAGTGCCATTGAGTCGATTCCGACCCATAGCGATCCTGTATAGGGTTTCCAAGGAGAAGCTGGTGAGCTTGAACCACCGACCTTGCAGTTCAACCGACTTTGCAGTCTGATGCATTAGCTCACAGCACCTCACCAGGACTTCTACAAAAGATTATTAACAGATGGAAAAAAGTGTATTGAAAAGCAAGGTGATTCTGTTGAAAAAATGATGTATTTGTTTTTTCTAAAAGTTGATTAAAAGAAATTCTATAGTTGTTGTTAGTAAGTGCCGTTGAGTTGTTTCCAACCCATAATAACCCTTTATAGGGTTTCCTAGGCACAGCTGATGATCTTGAACTGCTGACCTTATGGTTCAAAGCAACTTTATAGCCCAGCACTTTAACCCACAGCACCATACTATGACCATGTGGATAATTTTTGACTCATCCTTGTATAATGATTAATAATGGAAAAATAGGGACAAAATTATTGTTGTTGTGAAGGGTCATTGAGTCGATTCCGACCCATAGTGACCCTGTATAGGGTTTCCGAGGAGCAACTGGTGAGTTTGGACCACCGATCTTGCAGTTCAAACGGCTTTGCAGTCTGGCTTATTAACCCAGGGACAAAATTAGGGGCTCTGATATGTAGCATAAATATACTATCAAACATAACGGAAAACACACAAATAACCAAGGAAAAAATAGATGGCTGGAACCTCTTAAAAATTTAAACTAGACACTTATGTGTATCAAAACATTTCACCAGATGAATAAAAAAAGATCCCACAAACTTGAAACTTTTTTTGCAATGATATATTAGACAAGGGATTAACTTCTAAATTTTATAGGAAACTTTACGAATTGGGCTGCTAATCTCAAGGTCGGCAGTTCAAAACTACCAGCAGTTCCATGGGAGAAAGATGAAGCTTTCTGCTCCTATAAAGATTTACAGCCTCGGAAACCCTGTACAGGGTCGCTATGAGTTGGGACCAACTCCATGGTACTTATCAACAACAACAGCAACATCTTTTCAGTCCTGTTGTGTCACTGTAGACTATGCACTGGACCACAACATCAGTTTTAACTGCAAGGTCAGAGGTTCAAACCCACCAGCTGCTCCTCCAAAACCCTATACATGGT